CCCCCGCCGCAGGAGGGAGCCCTCCCTAGCTGCAGGGGAGAGAGGAGCTGCGGGTGGTGGGCAGAGAGGAACCAGGCAGGCTGCAGCCGAGGTGATAGGGCCATACATAGGCAGGCAAACACATACAACTGAGTAGGAGCACCTGAAAATTTGGTGCCCCAAATTTTCACAGCCCTACACGGCCACGTATTTTGTGTATGTTCACACGTGCGGTGAGTTTGGAAAGTTCTCAGACTGGCTCCTACATGGCACACGCTGGGCAGCCCGGACAGAGGTGCCAGGGGCCTTGCCCCCAGATGTGCTCTGGGCTGTGCCAAGTGGACCACTGTAATGGGCAGGCTGGGAGGTGGGAGACCAGGGAGAGAAGAGATTGCAGGGGGCACGGTGAATGGGGGGCACCCGGAGAAGGGGAAGGCGGGGCATTGTCTGAGCTGAGTGGCTGTGTGGGCAGGGGAGATTCTGCCTGTCCTGGTGCATTTGAACCCGTCTGCCCATCGTTTTATCCCAATTCCAGCACAGTTTAGCCTCCTCCCCTTACCCCCGCTCGCCTAGGGCCCATCGCTAGCCGCCTGGTGGGCAGAAGGGGCAATGAAACAGCTCACTCCTCCCCCACCCTGTCCATGGCCCCAGGGTGGCACTGGGTCGTGGGGACAGGTGCAGGGGGAGGGGCTAGAGGAGCTGTTCCTTTCAGGGGTGAGGCCTTGCTTGCTTTGGGCTGAGGCTGGGGTGAGACAGCAAATGGGGGGGGATTATTCCATTGCCTAAAGATGCTCACAGTGATAATGGGGGGGGAGTTTCTACTAAGTCCAGCCACCTGGTCAACCCTAACCCTAACCCACCCCCATTCTCCTGCATCATTTCCTCAAAGGGGCTCAGGCGTGGAAATGGCTCAGGTGCTGCGGAGCGGGAGGGGGGGAAGGGCGCATTTCCCTTCTGCATGCAGCCCCTGGCCTTCCAAATCCAGCCCCCTGCCTCCAGGCCTAGAACACCCCTCTGGCTCCCCAAGAATCTCCACACTTCAGGACGGCCCAGCTGGCAGAGAGCTCCGGGCTTGGTCCCTCCAGGGTGGCCACACGAGTCGCCCCTTCCCCCGGCGGGAGG